CACACACACACACACACACACACACACACACACAGTGGTGGTTGTTTTTGGAACGAAACTATTGAAGCTCTGTCAGGTCAGAGATTTAGGAGGAAACTAAATCTTCTTAATGTTGGCTGATAATGTGACTTTGAACCTGATGCTGACTTTGAAGCTGCTGCTGCTGCTGCTGCTGGAACTGGAACTCATTTGTTGGGGAGGGCGAGGCCTGCTGTGCTCAAGGTGCAGATTTATAAACCCCCCCAAATTCAATTACAACACCACCCACTGGGTCTCTTCTCCTCAGCAGCCCGTTTACGGTGGCAGTCCAATCATATCATGCAGCGTTAAAGATATGAGACACTTGGAGTTCATCAGTTAGTTTAGTTTGTTTGTTAAGACGGAGCCTCTGTGCCAGGAAACTGTCCACAAGAGTTGGAGGCTCAGTAGGGAACTAACTGTTAAAGAGAAGTTCTCTGGTTAGGTCATGGTAAAGTGCTCTCTCCTTATTACAGAGAAACGACTTCAGACAGCTCACATTTACTTCACTTGCTTTCAAATTCCCATTACATCCTTTTTTTCTGGGAGGTGTGAGGCTAAACAAAAAGGCTGCGCCATACGGTTTTGCGCAAATGATAAAATGAAATTTTAATAATTCCCACAGGGAAAATGAGTCAGAAAAAAAATAGATCAGAAGATGAGAGCAGAGAGATAATACATGAAAAACCAGAACGGGTCAAGATTGGGGCAATTCCATCGGCTGTGTCAGCGTTTCAGGAGCCTGATGATCCTTTGGACAGCAGTCAGAACATATGCTCAGAACATATGTTCTAACAAGAACGCCATCAGTGTCGCGGGTTTGTGAGGGCTCGTTCAACATCCTGGGAGAAACTGAAGCGATACAACCTCACAGTCAGATTGTCAGTGACGTGGAGCAGCGCTGAACAAACACAGCTGGTTCCATCCTGCTCAGCCACAGGTCCACATCAAGCTGGTCCAGAACACCGAGCCGTCTGAGTTGATTGGGTTTGCGGTGGACGCTCGGTGAATGTGTCATTAGAACATAATCTGATTTAATTGTCGTTCTGTAAAAACAGCGAACTGACAATAATGATTCTGTGGTTTGGACCGGGTGGTTACTGTAGCAGCAGAACAGAGACACAGATGAAGTTAACTTACATTGTTGATAATTAGTGGCAGGTAAAGCATGTGTCCTCATTATCAATGGCTGTATCATCGGCGTACGTCTTGCTCTTGTAAAGTTAATGTGATTCTCATGTGTACTTCAGTTTAAAAACCCGATGTGTAAGACGGACGAAAGGAAATGTTGATTTCTATTTAAAATGGCTAAGCATGAAAGTAACCTGTCGTGTCGTCTAAAAAAAGAAAAATCTGGAGTGAGGAGGAAAAAGGCTTTCAGCCACTTTACACCTTTTTTGTTTGATTCTAGGCTGTCGTTAGCTGTGGTTTGGCCTTGACTGATGTCGGTTTTGGCAGTGATTGGAGCTTTTCAGACTTCATGGACAAAGAAGAGAGAGAAAAAAAAAGCAGCCAGGAGCGATGATTGAACAGAGAGCATGGACCGTTCACCCAGACCACAGTGATAGGTTTGGAATCACAGGGGTTTGTGTTTCATACGTGGGTGATTCCTGTGCAGTGAAGAAGCATCACTACTGTCCTGTCCCGTCATCAGGGGGCGCTGCAGCAGTAGTCCACATCCTTATTTAACCTCATTCTCTCTTTGAATGTCAGAGGTATTACAGGCCATCACTAAAAAGAGGGCGATCTTTTGGTTTTACAGAAGAACAGAAGCAGATTCAATTTGACTTCAAGAAACACGTTCTTGTGAATCAGATGAAAAAATTTAAAGCACGATGGAGTAATGTCAGGCCAGGTCAAGACTTGTATGACTGACTGGGCCACACAGAAATCTAAATGAACTCTGGCTGGTTAGAGGAAAGTATTGCTGTTGATTAGCCCTCATTCATTAACTCCCCCAGCCGGTCCATCAAGCGCTGGCTCTCTGACTGACTGATTTATTAACTCGGTGGGGTGTTCTTCTGGTTGGCCTTGCCGACACTGTGGGTTTTTATTTGGCAGGTTCTTTAATGAAAATCAGGAAAAGCCTTCGACATCTGCTGTTATATGTGCGCGGTGCTCGGCTTGTTGATCGGGTTCAGTCAGTCTTTGTGAGTTAAATGCATGTTTTCGTTGACATGTACAAAGGCTGCTAACACCACAGTCCAAACACAGTGTTGACATGTACAAAGGCTGGCCTTTAGAACACACGTGAGGACGGCTGCTAACACCACAGTCCAAACACAGGAGCTGCCAAGTGAAACAGATTGGAAATAAATCATTGATAAGGAGAAAAAAAAGGGAATTAAAGTCAGGACACAAAGAGCAGGATGAAGGAGTCAGGAGTGAGGATGATTTCTGATGAGGAGTGAGAGTGCAGAGGAAGGATGAATGAAGCGACGGAGCAGAACGTGTAGAAAGTGTAGCTCGGCTAACGATGCAACAACGTAAAAAAAAAAAGAGGAAAAAAAAACCCATCAGTATCTTGAGAAAAGAATCTGTTTTCAGGTGGGAAAAAAAGTTAAAAGGAAACTAGAAGCATGAGAACAAAGCAACAGAAAGAAGATAAAGCTGTGGTTGTGATGGATGATGTGACTCCACCAGGAAATAAGATACAGAAGAGGGGATTCACACAGGCCCTCATTCCACAGTAGCTGGATGGAGTCGAGCTCCTTCTGCTGTGCCGTCTGGAGGAGCTCTTCACCTGATTGTGCATTAGCTGCAGCAGGGATGGACCTGTGTTTGCTCCACAGCCCGCCGTGTCCTTTGGGGTTGTCTCTGCTGAAGGGCGTCCCCTCACACAGCAGCACAAATCAAGTCACTCCTGTTTGCAGCGGGGCTGTCAGTTGGTTTGAGTATTTAATCGTGATTAATCAGGATGGATCTGGGGAAAGAGCAAGTTAATCGCACACTTGAAATCTTTTTGGAGTTTATGAAAATAAATTGAGCCGTATTGTGCATAATAAAGTAGCAACTCCAAATTACCCCATTAACTAATTTAGAACAGAATAAAAATGTCCTTACAAAAAGAATCAGCATGTCACACTTATCCAGACATTGGAAATGGCTAGCTAACAATTAGCTGTTTTACTTGATTGTTTTCTTATTCTTAACAACCTATTTTTCGGGCCAAACAACAGTTGTTCTCCTTTAATTACCTCACAAAACTAAACACAAACATCTGTTGCATTGAATACATTTTTTAAGAAGCAGTGCACGCCCCCCTGTGGTGAAGATTAGAAGGTCAAAGCTGTCTCTTCTCGTCTCGAACGCTTCATTCCAGCTGGAGAGAACAGCAGGTCATGAGAGAAGGAAGGCGTCAGCTCGTCCCAGTTTTCTTCATCTCTTGACCCTCTGGACAGTTTTCAGCAGACGTTCTCAGTGGCCCTGGTCACGTACTGGACAGATCCGCTGCCTCTGACGGCAGTTCTTCTTCTGTAACAAGCTGTTCCGTCCATCTGCTCCGGGACTCATAATTAGACTGATCTTGATTTAGATAACAATGAGAAACGATGGGAAACTACTTGACGGAACACACTGTGGTCGACACTGATCGTGTCTGGGACACAACACCTGAGGGACGGGTTTCCAAGTCTGTTTCAGAAACAGTCGCCACGGTGGTTTTTACAAACATGGCCGTTGATGCCCTGTCCTCTTGTCTCGTGGCTGCGTGTTCCAGTAAAACATAGATGTAAAGCTGTTTTCACTGAGTCAAACAAAGTCATCAAGTGTTACAGACTCTCAAGAACTGGCAAAGGAGGGACTTCTAGAGGATTGACTCTAGATGGAGTACTTGTACGATTCTGTGGGAAAAACCGACGAAAGAATGTTTGACACAAAGTGCCAAAGGATTTTGTGTGTGTGTGTGTGTTAAAGACTGAATTTATCTTAGCTGTCACACAGATAGGGAAGCATATGTGCAGAGTGTATGGAGGCAGGTTGGGGGGTTGAACTTGTTGGGGACACAGATGTTCCTGACTACAGGAAATCAGGCTAACAGTTGGTCCCCGATAACAAAAGAGAGTGTGTGACACTCCTCACAGCAGTGTGTGTGTGTGTGTGTAGACATGAGTTCAAGAGTGAGCAGGATCTGGTGGTCACTACATCATATCCAAACTCAGGTTCGTGGCCAATCATGGCCCTTGAATAGAATTATAAAAATCACGTATATTTCACAAACCTAAATGGTGTGAATATAGCTGAAAAGATGCATGCATACAAACTCGCCCTAACACTAGTGATTTGTTTTTTAAAATAACTTTACAAGCTAAAAGTAAAACAAAAATTCTGTAAAAAAAAAAAAAGCTAAAAGAATTAGCCAAAAAATACCATTAAAAAGTCTCTGAAATTGCAAATCAATTAAAAAAAACTTTTGAAATAATATGTGCATAGCTAATGCATAGCTAAAATGTAGCATGGATAGGAGTGAGTGAGGAGTCACAAGTTATCACAGGAATAGATAATAATATTTCTACAGCTTTTTCAATGTGAACGTGTGTGTGTGAGTGTAAAATGGAACAAACTCGCTCCGCTTTCTCCCTTTGTTGCAACAAAACTCAAGAGAATTTTTTTACTTTACATGAAACTTCTGCCTGAAGAGCCATCAACACCAGTTTATCTGAGCTCAGTGGAGCTTGTGGACGCGTTGAACTTTTATTCTTTACTTCCTCTCAGCCAATAAATCTCTCCGCTGTAGCTGCTGCTGTGTTTGTTTGTGTAAGTCTTAACTGTATGTGCTGACCCCAAAAAAACAATCCATCCTCCATGAAAGGACTCAGAAAAGGCTTCTTCTTCACAGTTGCTGCTGTTCCTCTCTTCACAAAGAACCCATTTAGTTGAGCTTCAGTGGCTCTGAAGGGCTGCTGGCCGCTCCGTCACCATGACTTCTAGCTGGTTAGTGAGCCTCAGTCCGGCCCAGGAACAATGCAATTTGTCTGAACATAAAGTCAGCCACGAGGGAAGGTTTTATCACCGTGACAGAGCAGAAAAAGAAGTTTCTCTCAGTGAGAACCATGTGATAGCTGTGTTCTTTCTAATGTACACCCATACAAATGAGCCAGAGAGCTGCAGGGTCTGTGGGCTAATGCCCCTCTTTGAATTCCCTGGTGTTTGTCTTCCTGTCATGACTCTTAGTTTGGCTTTGTGAGGTGTATGATTCATATCTGCTGTACTGTGTGACAAGTATTTAATAAAAAAAAGGGGGCAGGGGTTATTTTCACTGCCACCATGGAAGAAATAAAAAAAACCATTTTCTTATGTCCTAAATCTTCCTCTTTCTCTCCTCTGGTACAGCCTCCTCAGTGCTGCAGCCCAGTGAGGAGCAGACCCCTCCCCCCCAGAATAAATGTATGGGTGACATCGAGGAACTGGCTGCCAGCTATGAACGAAAACTCATCGAGGTAAGTGATTTAAAGTTACAAGTAAGACGCTGGATTAAGATGTTCTACAGTAGAGAGACCGCTCCTTTACCCCCGCAATACAATACAATATGAATTATTACTCTTTATCTCCAGCGTTGGACCTTAAAAAATCTAAAGAAAGGTTTTCCAGACGATGTAGAAACATTCCAGTTCTAATCTGCTCATCTTTTCCTGGATAGATTTCTCTCTTGTACCTTGACTGCAGTGCATTGTGGGACTTGTAATCAGCAGACATGGGCTGTGTGAGTGATGATGGTGCCTGAGGCCTGCAGTTATTCTGACTGGCTCCCAGTGAGCAGTTGTGTTTTCCGAAGTCCGATGAGACGTTCAAGGACCAGGACATTAATATTTAAGAGGCCGTTTTTTATATTTCTATAATTTGAAATAATTTCTTATTGTGTTTGGCAAAAGTATGTGTTCACTTATTTACGCAGGCGTGTGTGTGTGTGTGTGTGTGTGTGTGTGTGAGAGAGAGAGAGAGAGATGCATTTTTAATGATGTTTACTTATTAATGGGTTCATTTGCTGGGCTGTCAGTCTCACTTGGGTTTTCACAGAAGATTTGGAAGAGAGACGTGGAGCTCAGGTCCCCGATCAGACACAGCCTCAGTGGTTTGGTTTATGCTTTTGCTCAGTGCAACACACAGATGTTTACAGTTTCCCTTCAATTATGTAACAAGTGTGTTTTTTTGGTGGTTTTAAAGTGGGGCTCTGGTGAACCACAGGATGCAGGATGTGTTATATTGAATTAGAGAACACACGGTTCTTTGTTTCTGTAGCTTTGAGGATTAGAAAACAAACTGTTGGAGTTATTGATTTTATAATCATAGAATGTGGGCTACAGCCCAGCTGTCATTGCCTGGTATATATGACCCACAGCAGTGTTAATGTAATAATGCTAATGTCTTCCATTGATTTCTGTTGTCAGTCTACAGTGACTTCACTCATTTGTAAGTAGAGAGATTCAGCCCTGAGAGCGATCCTTGGCAAAAAAAAAATGCCTCAGAGATATTTGAACCTGCCACAGTTCTATTGTTCCTGTTTAAATTCATGGAACCTATTGTAAAACATAAGCAAAACAGTTCCATGTACTGTAGTGTAGGTTTCTAAAGCCAGTGATGCCTTTACTGTCTTACGGTTCAGCTCTTGTCACTCACAGCTGAATCCTATTTGATTGTAAATTCATAGGATATATTTGACACTTCAACACACTTTTTTATGCTGAGAGAATTTTAGCAGTTGCCAATTATAAAATGCAATTAAGGGGTGCTGCCCCCTTCTGTCCAGACTTGATGCTCAGTGACTCTCATATTACAGTGGCGACGTGCAGTGATTGTTCTTGTGTTCCAACAGTGTGTAACAAATGAAACAAAACTGCACGTACAGTTGATCCATTGAATTGCGAGGCCTCCGCGGCTCAGTCCCCACAGACCTGCGTCTGTCAAAAGACAGAGAAAAGGCAATGAAGAGATGAGACGATTGAAATAATATCTGACGCAGAGAGAAGGAGAGAGATTACAGAGGAAAAAGTGAAGGGAAAGTAAAGAGAGGAGAAAAGGCGTGAACTCGGGGGGATTCAGATACATTCGCATTTTAATTTCCCTCTTTGTTTTGCGTGCCGCTTTTCATTGTGTGTGTGAGCAATAAAAACTAATTACATAACAGGGTTAACACGTCCACTGAGGTTTGCGAGAAACGGAGAAGCTGCATGACATTGATCTGCAAGGCTGCAGCGATAGGAAGGTGGAAGAAGGGAGGAAGATAGAGAGGCGGGGGCGGTGGGGGGGGGGGGGAGGGGCGGGGGGGGTGAGAAAACTCGGTGGTGATGTAACAGCATCTGATACCAGGGCTCACAGGCTGTGGTGTCAGGAGGAACTTCATGTACAAGAACATCTGTCGACACGATGACCTCCACATCAGTCAGTTTGATTGGATGTCTGTTATGATCCCCTTGATCCAGTTTGAAGTCATTCTGTGGCCTCGCTAACGCATAATGAAACTAACCAATGACACATTTACATACAGTGCCCTGCAGAAGCCTTTTGTGTCTTCTGATTAGCAGCCTTTACGTTGGTAGCATCTCTAAAAATCTGCATGAGATTTTGGGCTGTCAATCAAGTTGAAACAAACCTTCAGAGTCTCCACGGAGCAGATCAGTGGAGTTTTTGAATTAAACTCTTTATTAATACAGAGAGGCTTCTCTGTGAAGCGTGAAGCTCCTCACGGTGTTTTGAAAAACGCGACTGATGTTAATCGGCATCACTCGTCTGAACTCAACACCCTCATTTAAATTGAAATACTGTGTGTCTACATCAAGCAGTGAATACACAGTTCAACCACCGTTGTAGTAAATACAGTTGAATGTTATGACATTTAAAACCATGACAAGCCAAAAAGTAGAAAAAAGTACTTTTTGGCTTTTTCACATTTTAACTTCCTGAGATTACCTGACTGTTTCTCAGGTTTTGTTTTTATTTCTCTTTATTTCTATTGAGGAGTATTTGAACTGTGGTTTTAGGAGCTAAGGCTGAGATGTGGGTCAGAGGTTCCGGTGGGATGGGGGATTCTCCCTGTGATCCACCGCCTCATTAATTAAACATGGAGTACATGAGGAGCAGGAACAGGAATCGTAGGCCACTGTCTCCGATTCTTCTGTGCTCAGAGTGAGGATGCAGTAATATCCAGAGGAATGTGTCATCATATATGGCCTGTATGATGTATTTGATGTGCAACATTCATGAATGTTACATTTAAATCTATCAAAATGTGTGCGTTTCCCCCCGACTCTGTTGCTTTTCTCTTGCGTCAAAATGTTTTTGATCTGAGTTGGGACAAAATATTAAAAGGTGAATGTTAGCTAACATTGAGGCTAACCGTTAGTTAGCAGGTCGATAGCAGGCTAAAGCCTGAATGCTAGGCTGGAGGTTAGTAGAACAGAAGCAAACGTGTTATTAGCACATAGCAAGCTAACAGACCTTGGGCCTATGAAGTTGGTGTGCGTCATGTTTCAGTCATTGACCTCTGACCTGGTACAGTAGATAAACACAGGATACATTAAAACTAAAAGAATAGCAAAGAAAAGTTTTATTTTCCCTCCTTTATTTCTGTATTTTGATGAAAAGCATGAGGATATTAAAGCTGACAGTCTGTCGTCACTGCTAACACCACACACAGTGATCCCAGTGTTGGCCCTGTGATGCTGCAGTGATAAAGAGCTGTGTCTGTGGTCCGCTCCAGATTTAGCCTTTTCCATAAACTCTCCTATTTATGTCTTTTGTGCTGCTCCATCTGCCGCTCTCACACACACTCACACTTCTCCGTCTCTTTGTTTTTTTTCTTTTTCTGTACCCTCCTCACTTCAGAGTGGACAGCACAGCTTGTGACGTCTGTATCAGTCCTTCCGCTCCAGTTTTCCCTCCTTTTTAGTTTCTTTTTTTGTTGTTTTTTTCCCTCTTTCTTGAGCAGCAGCTGTGATGGAGTGAGTCAGAGAAGGGAGCTGCATTTAGACTCTACAAAGAGGTCCAGGATTGGACAAGTTATTGACAGTATAACAGGTTTTCTTTTATTTGTATTTTTGTTTAATATGTGATTTTTCTTTTACATTTTAAAGATTAAAACAGCATTAAAACTGCTAACCTATGTAGCACGAAAAATTGAAACAGCTAATATAAGCCAATGTCTGAGAAAAGTTAGCGTCTTTGAACTGCACAAGAGCGGCTGTACATCAGGCTACTGTAGGTAGAGAAACACAATCACACTTTTTCCTATGGCAGTAAAGGCATCACTAGCTTTCCTCTGTTTCTGCTTTATAAGGAAAGAAGTCATCAACTCCGACTTAAATATTTAGGGACTATACGGCCTCTTCTGGCGGCCAACATATGACCTGTCGGCTGCACGTTACTGTATAGACTTCTTGTCCACGTCACGAACAAATTTGTATTTGACCCGACACCCCTGTACTCTCCCAAAAGAAAGGCCAAGGAACGAGTTGAGTCGAGACAAGTTCAGTCAGTGCTTTCTGGGCCACTTAAACCCAAAACCAGCCCAACTCAGAAATGAGATTCTGGAGAGGAGAAGAAAGGAGGAGCAGGAGCAGGGGTGGAGGATTTCCTGCAAACTTTGGAGAGAGAAGAGCAGAGGATAACAAGGCTTTGTGTGAAGGAGAGGCTTGTGTGTGTGTGTGTGTTTTTGAAGAGTTTTTGAAAAGTGTGCTTGTAAGGGAGTGTGTGGCAGTTACCTGAAATGACTTCAGCTCCACTGACCCCTCATTAAAAACCAAAAGTTTCCTCCTTAACAGCACTTTGAGATCTGACTTGTTCACATCATGTTAGCTAACGTGTCTTCTCGTTCTTACTTGATTTCCCCTTTTTTTGTATTAGCACCAGCACCACTGTCAGCCCCTGGTAGCAGAAGTTTAAACGATCCCTAGTGTGTATGCCTTTGTGTTTTTTTTTGTGTGTGTGTGCCTGAGATGAAAATCTGCAAAAAGCAGATAATAGCAACATTGGCGCTTCAAATTCTGCTTCTACCTTCAATTAATGGCTTTAACTGGTGTGGCTTTACTGCAAAGCCCACACGGAGGACAGCTTGTTTCCTTAAAGTGATGGACGGGTTTGTTTATTCGCTGAAACGCTGCTGCAACGAGCGGAACCATTGACAAACTGAATAAAAAAAGTCCAAGCTTAGCAAAAAATGAAATGAAAAAAAAAAATCTCTATACCAATTTGTTCTTGGTCCCTGAATTTGATTGTTCCGACGCTGCAGACCCAAAAATACCGTGCTTCGAGGTCACTTTGCTCTAGAACATTCCTAATTATGAGGTCTCTGGAGTGCTCTGCTGAGAGGCCGCTGGGCTGAAGAGCCCACGGTCTCAGCTGCTCATCCAGGCTCTGCTTTTGTGTTCTGTTCTTGTTCGGAGGATGTTTTTTTCTTCTTCTTTCATCACACTAAGAGCTTGTCAACTTGAAACTGCACTGCCCTGAAGGAAGGTATAATCTCTTCCATCACCTTCCTTCACCTAACAAGCAGCCGTTCTGGTTGTCACTGTGGGGAAAAAAGTAGCGACACGTTGTAAACTGGATAGAAAGAGAGGGAACAAGTTGTTCTCGGAGCTGTGAGGAGAATTGACATCATCTGCCTGGTTTGTCCATTGATTGTAGTTGTTTTTCTTTCTTGCTTTTAGACATATTTCTGATGTGTTTTTTAGCCTGAGGTGTGAAAGAAAAGTCAAACTTTTACTGATGGCAGAGCTCTGTGACCTATGAATGTGCTGCGTTTCTACAGATCTGCTAACATTTTGCTGTTGGATGGAATTAGGCTTTGAAGACATTTCTAAGAACTATTCCAATGCACTTCAAGTGAGAAATTCACAAGAACCCTAAAAATGATAAATAATAATAAATCCCACAAAAAAGGTTACCTAAAAGCCTAGTAGTTACAGTGGCAACAGAAGTGGCAGGAAGGACTACGGAATCACAAATGTTTTGCAAAAAGTTCAGAATTGCTGCAAAATATGTTAGAAATAATTTAAATATATTGAATGTGTTGGACTGTGGCCTCATCTAGAGTACATCAAAAACGGTTCACAAGTATGTAGAATAATATTTGCATGTACACCAAACAGAATTTACATGAATACTGAACAGTATTTAAATGAGTTCTATCTGTGTTGGAGAATTCCTGGAGGCTCTAATTAGTTTTGTTCTTTTTAAATAGTGTTAGCACAGGGAGACTCTGATTGGCCTTAGTTTGACCAAGGTCAGGTAAACAGAGAGTTAATGCAGCAGAGGAACAAGTTCTGTCTGTAAGGTCCAGGCTTGAGTGAATGGACCATGAAGACCTGAACGTGCGTGTTAATAATGATGGAGGAGATTCAAGCACATTCACAACACAGGCACGTAGACACACAGATGTTAATTCAATACGTGCACGCTCGCTCTCTCTCTCTCTCTCTCTCTCACACACACACACACACACACTTAAACAGACTCAGAATGACAAACTGATTAGCTCCTTCTCACGGAGAATTAATTGGGTTTCTTGGCTCCTAAAATTAATTCTGTCTCCCATAAAGTCCTATAAGGACCAGTTGTGCTGCTTAAATAAATGGATGATGAATTGGCCCGATGTTAAGGACTGTGATTCGGGGGCGTAACGACTTCCTGTTCCCGGAGGTGGAGATAAAGAGCAAAAGTTTGCACTTTATGAAATAAGTGTCCAGGTTCTTCCAGGATACAGACGGAGACATCAAGATGTCAGATGTTGGGGATTATTTTTTTGGAGCTGGGGTGACTCTTTTTTTATGCCCAGAGATTACCATCAGCCCGACTTTATTGCTTTGCAGCCCCCGTCTGATCCGGAGATTTCTAACACGTCTGCGTTTTAGAGTCTGGCTAAATAAAACCAAGCCAAAATATACCTGCTGGATTTCAATACCTTTTTCCCGAAACACCAGTTTTGAATGGCTTTTACGTGACAACTTTAAAAGACAAAACTTTTCAAATCACCTCTACTTTGACACCATCAGTCTCTAGAAGTACTGCACCTCATGCGCAGGCACAAAGGCACTGATAGTTATTGAGCTCTTTTGTGAGAAGAATGTCTAACCACAGTTGATTCCATTAGGAATTTCTGTTCACTCTTTTTGTTTAGGCCGAGTAAAACACATTTATATTTGACTTTTTGGGTATGTGGAAACATAATAAGGATGTTTTCTGCTAATTCCTCTCAGATTTCCTCGGACGACTTGTTACAACATATTCATTTTATTTTTTACGTAATTTGCTGCCTGTGGAGCGGGGACCGTGTCTGGTACTGTTGAATTATTACAGCCTGTCTGAGGAAATGATTGTTATTCCCTAAATAACTGAGCAGCACTAAAAACAGTGGCAGTGACAAAGATAGACACAGAGACAAATCAAATCCTCCCGTGAAAACGTCCTCGCAGCAGCAGCAGTAACAACAGCAGCAGCAGTAGCAGCAGCAGCAGCAG